GGAAGAATGTTCTTGCAAGATATCTCATTAGCCTCTCCAGAGAAAACAGAATTGTCTCGTATTATGTCTCGGAAGAATGTTCTTGCAAGATATCTCATTAGCCTCTCCAGAGAAAACAGAATTTTCTCGTATTATCTCTCGGAAGAATGTTCTTGCAATATATCTCATTAGCCTCTCCATAGAAAACAGAATTTTCTAGTATTATCTCTCGGAAGAATGTTCTTGCAAGATATCTCATTAGCCTCTCCATAGAAAAAAGAATTGTCTATTATCTCGGAAGAATTGCAAGATATCTCATTAGCCTCCAGAGAAAACAGAATTGTCTCGTATTATCTCTCGGAAGAATGTTCTTGCAAGATATCTCATTAGCCTCTCCAGAGAAAAACAGAATTGTCTCGTATTATCTCTCGGAAGAATGTTCTTGCAAGATATCTCATTAGCCTCTCCAGAGAAAAACAGAATTGTCTCGTATTATCTCTCGGAAGAATGTTCTTGCAAGATATCTCATTAGCCTCTCCAGAGAAAACAGAATTGTCTCGTATTATCTCGGAAGAATGTTCTTGCAAGATATCTCATTAGCCTCTCCAGAGAAAAAAACAGAATTGTCTCGTATTATCTCTCGGAAGAATGTTCTTGCAAGATATCTCATTAGCCTCTCCAGATAAAAACAGAATTGTCTCGTATTATCTCTCGGAAGAATGTTCTTGCAAGATATCTCATTAGCCTCTCCAGAAAAAAGAATTGTCTCGTATTATCTCTCGGAAGAATGTTCTTTTGGCATATATAGTCTCCAGAGAAAACAGAATTTGTCTCGTATTATCTCAAGAATGTTCATTAGCCTCTCCATAGAAAGAAATTGTTCGTATTATCTCTCGGAAGAATTCTCATTTTTCTCAGAATTGTCTCGTATTATCTCTCGGAAGAATGTTCTTGCAAGATATCTCATTAGCCTCTCCAGAGAAAAACAGAATTGTCTCGTATTATCTCTCGGAAGAATGTTCTTGCAAGATATCTCATTAGCCTCTCCCAGAAAACAGAATTGTCTCGTATTATGTCTCGGAAGAATGTTCTGCTGGATATCTCATTAACCTCTCCAGAGAAAAACAAAATTGTCTCGTATTATCTCTCGGAAGAATGTTCTTGCAAGATATCTCATTAGAAAACAGAATTGTCTCGTATTATCTCTCGGAAGAATGTTCTTGCAAGATATCTCATTAGCCTCTCCAGAGAAAACAGAATTGTCTCGTAATGTCTCGGAATAATGTTCTTGCGAAAGATATCTCATTAGCCTCTCCAGAGAAAACTGAATTGTCTCGTATTATCTCTCGGAAGAATGTTTTGCAAGATATCTCATTAGCCTCTCAGAGAAAACAGAATTTTCTCGTATTATCTCTCGGAAGAATGTTCTTGCAAGATATCTCATTAGCCTCTCCAGAGAAAACAGAATTGTCTCGTATTATCTCTCGGAAGAATGTTCTTGCAAGATATCTCATTAGTCTCTCCAGAGAAAATGTCTGGGAAGAATGTTCTTGATATCTCATTCTCCAGAGAAAACAGAATTATTATTATGTCTCGGAAGAATGTTCTTGCAAGATATCTCATTAGCCTCTCCAGAGAAAAAGTCTCATTTTAATTGTATTATCTCTCGGAAGAATGTTCTTGCAAGATATTATGTCTCGGAAGAATGTTCTCTCGGGGAGAATGTTTGCAATCATATCTCATTATCTCTCCAGAGAAAACAGAATTGTCTCGTATTATCTCGGAAGAATGTTCTTGCAAGATATCTCATTAGTCTCTCCAGAGAAAACAGAATTTTCTCTCGTATTATGTCTCGGAAGAATGTTCTTGCAAGATATCTCATTAGCCTCTCCAGAGAAAACAGAATTGTCTCGTATTATCTCTCGGAAGAATGTTCTTTGCAAGATATCATTAGCCTCTCCAGAGAAAACAGAATTTTCTCGTATTATCTCAAGAATGAGAAAATCTCATTAAGCCTCTCCAGAGAAAAAGAATTGTCTAGTGTATTATCTCTCGGAAGAATGTTCTTGCAAGATATCTCATTAGTCTCTCATCCTTAGAGAAAAACAGAATTGTCTCGTATTATCTCTCGGAAGAATGTTCTTTGCAAGATATCTCATTAGCCTCTCCAGAGAAAAACAGAATTGTCTCTGTATTATCTCTCGGAAGAATGTTCTTGCAAGATATCTCATTAGCCTCTCCAGAGAAAACAGAATTGTCTCTGTATTATCTCTCGGAAGAATGTTCTTGCAAGATATCTCATTAGCCTCTCCAGAGAAAAAAGAATTGTCTCGTATTATGTCTCGGAAGAATGTTCTTGCAAGATATCTCATTAGCTCTCCAGAGAAAAACAGAATTGTCTCGTATTATATTATGTTCTTGCAAGATATCTCATTAGCCTCTCCAGAGAATTTTCTCGTATTTCTCTCGGAAGATATCTCATTATCTCATTCTCCATAGAAAACAGAATTGTCTCCGTATTATCTCTCGGAAGAATGTTCTTGCAAGATATCTCATTAGCCTCTCCAGAGAAAACAGAATTGTCTCTGTATTATCTCTCGGAAGAATGTTCTTTGCAAGATATCTCATTAGCCTCTCCATAGAAAACAGAATTGTCTCGTATTATCTCTCGGAAGAATGTTCTTGCAAGATATCTCATTAGCTCTCCAGAGAAAACAGAATTGTCTCGTATTATCTCTCGGAAGAATGTTCTTGCAAGATATCTCATTAGCCTCTCCAGAGAAAACAGAATTGTCTCGTATTATGTTCTTGGAAGAATGTTCTTGAAAAACAAGATATCTCGTATTAGTCTCTCCAGAGAAAACAGAATTGTCTCGTATTATCTCTCTGGAAGAATGTTCTTGCAAGATATCTCATTAGCCTCTCCAGAGAAAACAGAATTGTCTCGTATTATGTCTCGGAAGAATGTTCTTGCAAGATATCTCATTAGCCTCTCCAGAGAAAACAGAATTGTCTCGTATTATCTCTCGGGAAGAATGTTCTTGCAAGATATCTCATTAGATATCTCATTCTCTCCAGAGAAAACAGAATTGTCTCGTATTATCTCTCGGAAGAATGTTCTTGCAAGATATCTCATTAGCCTCTCCAGAGAAAAAAAACAGAATTGTCTCGTATTATGTCTCGGAAGAATGTTTCTTGCAAGATATCTCATTAGTCTCTCCATAGAAAACAGAATTGTCTCGTATTATCTCTCGGAAGAATGTTCTTGCAATATATCTCATTAGCCTCTCCAGAGAAAACAGAATTTTCTCGTATTATGTCTCGGAAGAATGTTCTTGCAAGATATCTCATTAGCCTCTCCAGAGTAAACAGAATTTTCTCGTATTATCTCTCGGAAATGTTCTTGCAAGATATCTCATTTGCCTCTCGGAAGAAGCAAGATATCTCATTGTCTCAGAAAAAAGAATGTCTCGTATTATGTCTCGGAAGAATGTTCTTGCAAGATATCTCATTAGCCTCCAGAGAAAACAGAATTTCTCATGTATTATCTCTCGAAGAATGTTCTTGCAAGATATCTCATTAGCCTCTCCAGAGAAAACAGAATTGTCTCGTATTATCTCTCGGAAGAATGTTCTTGCAAGATATCTCATTAGCCTCTCCAGAGAAAACAGAATTGTCTCGTATTATCTCTCGGAAGAATGTTCTTGCAAGATATATCTCATTAGCCTCTCCAGAGAAAACAGAATTGTCTCTGTATTATCTCTCGAAGAATGTTCTTGCAAGATATCTCATTAGCCTCTCCAGAAAAAAACAGAATTGTCTCGTATTATCTCTCGGAAGAATGTTCTGCAAGATATCTCATTAGCCTCTCCATAGAAAACAGAATTGTCTCGTATTATCTCTCGGAAGAATGTTCTTGCAAGATATCTCATTAGCCTCTCCAGAGAAAACAGAATTGTCTCGTATTATGTCTCGGAAGAATGTTCTTGCAAGTCATTCTGCAAGATATCTCGGAAGAATGTTCTTGCAAGATATCTCATTAGCCTCTCAGAAAAACAGAATTGTCTCGTATTATGTCTCGGAAGAATGTTCTTGCAAGATATCTCATTAGCCTCTCCAGAAAAAAACAGAATTGTCTCGTATTATGTCTCGGAAGAATGTTCTTACAAGATATCTCATTAGCCTCTCCAGAGAAAAACAGAATTGTCTCGTATTATCTTCGGAAGAATGTTCTTGCAAGATATCTCATTAACCTCTCCAGAAAACAGAATTGTCTCGTATTATCTCTCGGAAGAATGTTCTTGCAAGATATCTCATTATTGTCTCTCCAGAGAAAACAGAATTGCAAGAATATTATCTCTCGGAAGAATGTTCTTGCAATATATCTCATTAGCCTCTCCAGAGAAAACAGAATTTTCTCGTATTATCTCTCGGAAGAATGTTCTTGCAAGATATCTCATTAGCCTCTCCATAGAAAACAGAATTGTCTCGTATTATCTCTCGGAAGAATGTTCTTGCAATATATCTCATTAGCCTCTCCAGAGAAAAACAGAATTTCTCGTATTATCTCTCGGAAGAATGTTCTTGCAAGATATCTCATTAGCCTCCAGAGAAAACAGATTTGTCTCTTATTATCTCTCGGAAGAATGTTCTTGCAAGATATCTCATTAGCCTCTCCAGAGAAAACAGAATTGTCTCGTATTATGTCTCGGAAGAATGTTCTTGCAAGATATCTCATTAGCCTCTCCAGAGAAAACAGAATTGTCTCGTATTATCTCTCGGAAGAATGTTCTTGCAATATATCTCATTAGCCTCTCCAGAGAAAACAGAATTTTCTCGTATTATCTCTCTCAGAGAAAAGAATGTCTCGTATTATCTCTGGAAGAATGTTCTCAAGATATCTTAGCCTCTCCATAGAAAACAGAATTGTCTCGTATTATCTCTCGGAAGAATGTTCTTTGTAAGATATCTCATTAGTCTCTCCAGAAAACAGAATTGTCTCGTATTATGTTCTCGGAAGAATGTTCTTGAAAAAAGATATCTCATTATATCTCTCCAGAGAAAAACAGAATTTTCTCGTATTATCTCTCGGAAGAATGTTCTTGCAAGATATCTCATTAGCCTCTCCAGAGAAAAACAGAATTTGTCTCGTATTATCTCTCGGAAGAATGTTCTTGCAAGATATCTCATTAGTCTCCAAAAAAACAGAATCGTATTATCTCTCGGAAGAATTGCAATATATCTCCTCTCCAGAGAAAACAGAATTGTCTCGTATTATCTCTCGGAAGAATGTTCTTGCAAGATATCTCATTAGCCTCTCCGAATTGTCCAGAGAAATTATCTCTCGGAAGAATTGTCTCGTATTATCTCTCGGAAGAATGTTCTTGCAAGATATCTCATTAGTCTCTCCAGAAAAAACAGAATTGTCTCGTATTATCTCTCGGAAGAATGTTCTTGCAAGATATCTCATTAGCCTCTCCAGAGAAAACAGAATTGTCTGTATTATCTCTCGGAAGAATGTTCTTGCAAGATATCTATCTCTTGGAAAAAGAATTTTCTCGTATTATCTCTCGGAAGAATGTTTGCAAGATATCTCATTAGTCTCTCCAGAGAAAACAGAATTGTCTCGTATTATCTCTCGGAAGAATGTTCTTGCAAGATATCTCATTAGTCTCTCCAGAAAACAGAATTGTCTCGTATTATCTCTCGGAAGAATGTTCTTGCAAGATATCTCATTAGCCTCTCCAGAGAAAAACAGAATTGTCTCGTATTATCTCTCGGAAGAATGTTCTTGCAAGATATCTCATTAGCCTCTCCAGAGAAAACAGAATTGTCTCGTATTATCTCTCGGAAGAATGTTCTTGCAAGATATCTCATTAGCCTCTCCAGAGAAAACAGAATTGTCTTATTATCTCTCGGAAGAATGTTCTTGCAAGATATCTCATTAGCCTCTCCAGAAAACAGAATTGTCTCGTATTATCTCTCGGAAGAATGTTCTTGCAAGATATCTCATTAGCCTCTCCAGAGAAAACAGAATTGTCTCGTATTATCTCTCGGAAGAATGTTCTTGCAAGATATCTCATTAGTCTCTCCAGAAAAAAAAAAACAGAATTGTCTCGTATTATCTCTCGGAAGAATGTTCTTGCAAGATATGTTAGCCTGCAAGATATCTCATTAGCCTCTCCAGATATCTCATTAACCTCTCCAGAAAAAAACAGAATTGTCTCGTATTATCTCTCGGAAGAATGTTCTTGCAAGATATCTCATTAGCCTCTCCAGAGAAAACAGAATTGTCTCGTATTATCTCTCGGAAGAATGTTCTTGCAAGATATCTCATTAGCTCTCCAGAGAGAAAAACAGAATTTTCTCGTATTATCTCTCGGAAGAATGTTCTTGCAAGATATCTCATTAGTCTCTCCAGAGAAAACAGAATTGTCTCGTATTATCTCTCGGAAGAATGTTCTTGCAAGATATATCTCTCCAGAGAAAACAGAATTGTCTCGTATTATCTCTCGGAAGAATGTTCTTGCAATATATCTCATTAGCCTCTCCAGAAAAACAGATTTTGTCTCGTATTATCTCTCGGAAGAATGTTCTTGCAAGATATCTCATTAGCCTCTCCAGAGAGAATTGTCTCGTATTATCTCTCGGAAGAATGTTCTTGCAAGATATCTCATTAGCCTCTCCAGAGAAAACAGAATTGTCTCGTATTATCTCTCGGAAGAATGTTTTTGCAATATCTCATTAGTCTCTCAGAGAAAACAGAATTGTCGGAAGAATGTTCTTTGCAAGATATCTCATTAGCCTCTCCAGAGAAAACAGAATTTTCTCGTATTATCTCTCGGAAGAATGTTCTTGCAAGATATCTCATTGTCTCTCCAGAGAAAACAGAATTGTCTCGTATTATTCTCGGAAAGAATGTTCTTCAAGATATCTCATTAATAATTTTTCATGATATTATCTCTCGGAAGAATGTTTTTCAAGATATCTCATTTCTCCAAGATTTATTATTCTCGGAAGAATTTTCTGCAAGATATCTCATTAGAATTGTCTCGTATTATCTCTCGGAAGAATGTTCATCCAAGATATCTTTTTCCAGAGAAAACAGAATTTTCTCGTATTATCTCTCAATTTTTGCAATTTACTTCCAGAGAAAAAAAATTGTCTGTCTCGGAAGAATGTTCTTAAGATATCTCATATTAAATCAAAATGGATGCGATATTATTTTCGGAAGCAATGTTCTATTATCTTTTTGGGACTATCCAGAAAAACAGAATTGGCATACGATATTAACCAATTCTGCAAGATATCTCATTAGCCTCTCCAGAGAAAAACAGAATTTAATACGTTTGTATATGTCTTGTCGAGTACTTTGCATACGACACGCTCTCGTTAGACTGCTAGCTGAAGGAAAGATATCGACTCAAATATGCCTGTCTTTCGACCAGCCTATGAGTAACAGAAAGACTTCGACTAATGCCATGACGAAAAACAGTTATATCAAGGTTCATATCTGGTTAGTCTCTCCAGCAAATTAGGAAGTGAATAAAACTCTTTTTTTCTTTGCTTGAGGTAAATAACCCATCTCTTTCGGAACTTTTTTTTAAAGACTCCTGTATTGATGCCAAATAATAATCGGTTGTAGAGGCATGCGGTGAATTTTAAATATTACAGGATATTATAGGGATGTCATTCGTGTTATTCAATATTAACTAGCGAAGAATTTGAATCGTTACTTTATATTTTGTTGTAAAATAAATGGATTATATTCAGGTGTAATATAAAGCTTCAAAATACTCACACGTAGATAGATATATAGATAGATAGATAGATATGAACAGACTGAGATAGATAGATAGATAGATTTGAACAGACTGAGATAGATAGATAGATAGATTTGAACAGACTGAGATAGATAGATAGATAGATAGATAGATAGATAGATAGATAGATAGATAATGAACAGACTGAGCTAGATAGATAGATAGATAGATAGATAGATAGATAGATAGATAGATAGATAGATAGATAGATAGATGTCGAATAATTTCATATTCTAATGATCGCTTAAGGCCAGTCACCGTTCAGTATTATGTTTCCATATATATATATATATATATATATATATATATATATATATATATATATATATATATATATTTTTCATATATATATATATATATAATGTATATATGGTTTGAGCGTGCTAGCCTTAGTCAAACTGTTGACCACACTACATAATCTCTCTCTCTCTCTCTCTCTCTCTCTCTCTCCCAGAAACTGTAACTCAGGTCCGCTCAATATAGTTGCAGTATAAACCTCAGGTGGTCTCTGAGGGTGTTGAACAAACGCAAATGTGCCTGAGCAAGCTTCTGTATTGGGGATTAGCTAGCCGCCGTTGTAGACTGGCATCCTCGGATTCGAGTGACTGTGCCAAAAAGAAGAATGGGGATAAAGATAAAAGGGACATTTATCTTAGCGTACGCATTCCACCCTCTGATGTATTTTATCAAGACAAATCTAATCATTTTATTTTACAAGTACTTATAACCATAAGTAAATAATGACGTTCATTTTTCAGAATGTTTTATATTTAAGGACACTCATCAGGTTAACTAAAAATCAAATTAAACTGTGGAGGATAATAAGGATGTAGTTTATGTCCAAGAAACGAAAGTGATCAAATGCTGTTGACCTTATTTTATTATAATGTAATTATTATTTATATCAGGTCATCCGATATGTTCTGTCCGAATTTTGAATAAAGAAATCAAGTGACCAAATCTTATATTTAATTACAGATTCAATCAACAATGTATTTTCCCTGATTATCTATGACTTCCTTCCATCTATTAACAAGCTTACTAATTCCATTACTGTAAAATTCTTTTGGCTGTGATTCGAAGAACTCACAAATGTCAGTTTTAACCTCTTCCTGTGTTACAAAAGCTGTTTCTTCCAAATGATTCTGTAAGCTACGAAACAAATGGTAGTCTGATGGAGCAAGATCGGGAGAATAATGTGGATTCGATCTTTTGTGACGTGATTCTTGCTGCGTGGGGTCGCGCATTGTCCTGATGAAACATCACCCCTTTTCGATTCACTAGAGGTCTTTTTTCCTAAAAGTTTGGTTCAAACGCTCTAATTGCTGACAGTATATTTGAGCACTAATTGTTGCATTAGGTGGTAAGAATTCAAAGTGGATTATTACTTGGCGATCTCACCAGATTGAAAGAAGAAACTTTGCCCATGAAGTTCCCTTCTCGGCTGTGGCTGGGGTCCCCCCCTTTACCAGGCCACTGTCTACGACGCTTAACATTTCGATAAAAGATCCATTTTCGTCGCCAGTCACAAGTCTATCCAAAAAAGGTGAAACAAGTTGGCGAGAATGGAGAGAAGAGCAGATGTCAACTCGAGATTTGAGGTTGTTTTTAGACAATTCATGAGGCACCCATTTTCCAAGTTTAGGAAATTTTCCAAGTTGTTGAAGATGACGATGAACAGTTGTATGGTTTGAACTGAGAACAACTGCCAATTCCTCAATTGATAAAGCAGGATTTTCTTCAAGGACTGCTTCAAGAAGCTTTTCATCAAACTCAACTGGTTCGATCTTCATCTTCAAGGGTGAAATCTCCACCTCTGAATTTTGCAAACCATCTTTTGCAAGTTCTTTCATTCACACATTCCTCTCCATAAACTGAGTGAATGTTTCTAGCCTCTTCGGCTTCTGAGTTTCCATTTTGAACTCATAAACTATTATGTTCCTCAAATGGTTCTTGGGTAGCAGGATTTTAATCAAACAAAATTTAATTTTATTGTTCTCTGAAATAAAATTTGATCAGTTTAAATGCATCTAAACATAAAAATAATGTTCAGCTCCATTAGACATTATAAAATACTATTTAAATTTAACAAAAAGTTAAAATTCGGACAGAACTTATGGGATGACCTGATACAATTGTAGCTTGAATTTAATTTATATATTATATATTTTAAATAATAAAAGGTATACCAACATGCCAGTAGTGCGATTCTCACCCACGGAAGATTAGGATTACTTGTTCCGTAAGTCAGTTGGCGTGCGGTACTGTCCCCTACACGTTTTCAATATCTTACCAGAAAGCTTTTGAAAATCATATCCGCACAGTACTGGAAGAGATACGATTAGGGGCCTCGGTGTTGTTGATGACATCGACGGGCTGGATGGAATTGAAGGCAAACTGGCTAACCCGGTGAGGTGTCTAGAAGAAACAGCATCCAGATGTGGCGTTGAAAATCAGCACCGAAAAAAACAAGGCAGATGAAAGGTTGTGGTGAACCCATGAGTGTAGCAATTACAATCAGTGGTCAGCAAAAGGATAAATCAAGTACCTTGATGCAATCATCAGCCAAGATGGATCCAAACTAAAAGTCAGTGCGAGAATTGTGCTAACAACAGCCGCGATGGTACAGGAAGGGATGAATGAAGAAAAGGGTGTGGGATGTAAAGACAAAAAGCTCCTCTGTAAAAATATACTGAGATTGTATCTTTCCATCGTCTTGTCGGTTCTCCTCTATGCATGCGAGCCATGGAGTTTTACTGTAGGAATCAAAAGGCGGATGCAAGCAGCAGAGATGAGATACATCCGGTGTTTGTTTTGTATTCCCAACAAAATACAATAAATGTGGCAAAAACTTATTATTAATACAAATATATATTTGTAGTCGTTTTTTACAAAATGTAAAAAGCGACTACAAATATTAAAAGCCATAATCATAAAAGCAAATAACTTAGCATCAATAAAATTTAATTAATAAAAAATTAATAAAAAATATTAGATATAGATCACAAATTTATAAAAAAAAATTTGGAGCAAAACAGGTGCAATACCACAAACTGATAGGTGAAGACTTCCTACTTGAAAAATCCGACATTTATTTATTTTCATCAGGATATTAGATAGACTGGTATTCAGGTCAGCCTGAGATGAATACATTTCTAATCATGTGAGTTCCTATATTGCGTCGGGTCTTTCCTGATCTCACAATTTTGTTTGAATTTAATAAACGTAAAGTTGTCACTAACATTTTTTAAAATCACATGTCCCTTCAAGACGGAGGTAATCTTGACACTCACCAAATACGTTTCTCTTAGTATCTGGGAAATGCCACGTATTCTTGGGAAAGAGAGTAAAATGGTTTCCCGTTGCCTCCTCCATGGATAGGGAATCTCTTTGATTGACAGTAACCCAAATCTTCTTTCTTTCTTTTTATATGCCATGTCCTTTCAAGACGTAGATGATCAAAGCTCTCCACCTCCCTCTATCCTTTGCAGCTATCAACAAGTTTCTTCCCTCTGCTCCCCCCACCGACCACGTTCTGTCGTCCACTTGCTTAAGTCCGCCAGATATATCAAGCGTTCTTTTCCCTTGTCTCTCTTTCCCTCTGTTCGAACTGTGAGTACCAGATTCTCCAGGCCCTTCTTCCTCGTTGTGTATCCCAGAAACTTCAGCTGCCTCTTCCTTATGTCAAGTATAAGCCTTCTCCTTTTTTGAATCATCTCGGTCCATGATATCCTTAGCATCCTTCTGTAGAACCACATCTCCGTCACCTCGAGTATCTTCTTCGTCTTTGAGGAAATCGTCCAACATTCGTCATCAAGAAGGACAGTTGTAACAGATCAGTATTTTTTTCTTTGTTGCCAAAGCAATCCTCCTGTCTCGCAATACCCTGCCCAGATTTTGGAATGTGTCCTTGGCCATCCCAATACGTCTACGGATCTCAGTGTCGCACTTACCGTCCTCTGTCAAAACGCTTCCCAGATATTTCAAATTCCGCATCTGCTTGATTCTAGTTTTTCTGACATTCAAATCACATTTCAGGCTCATCCTTCTACTGATGACCATGCATTCTGCCTTCTTGTAGTTTATGCTTAGTCCTTTCTTCTCGCTCTCCTTCTGTAGGAGATTTTGTAATTTCTTTTCTGTGTCTGCTATCAGTACTGTGTCATCTGCGTATCTTAAGTTCTTAAGATTGTAGCCGCCAATGCTAAATCCCGCTAGGGTTTCCAATTCTCTCAGAATTTCCTCGATGTATAGGTTGAATAGGTCCGGTGAGAAGACGCATCCTTGCCTTATGCCCCTTTCTATTTTTATATATTCGCTGAATTCATTCTCTATGCGCACGCATGCTGTTTGCTGCCAGTATAGGTTCTTGATTATTCTGATATCTTTCCTGATTATATCAAGGTTGCTGATCAGGTCCATCAAACAGATCCTTGTGGCGTACTTTGTTGCAGGCCTTTGTCTATCCGACTTGTTATCCCATAGCTGGAGGAAAAAGAGATTGAAATAAAGAAATAAAAAAACAAAATACGTTAAAATAAAATTGCAAGATACGCAAGAAAGAAAAAAAAGAATGAGCATAATGAAAAAGAAAAAAAAAGGAAGCAAAACTAAATGCGAAACATTTCTGACATGGAAAATGAAAGAAAGAAAGAAAGAAAGAAAGAAAGAAAGAAAGAAAGGTAGTTGATAAGGGGTACTTGATTAGATCCATCTGTGAGCAAAAGGCTTACAAAAAATCACGTTTTGAGCGAGCAAACCTGGTGGATATATTAAACCCAGGCACACACCTATATGACCTTTCCTTCACTACCAATAGATCATGTTCAAGCAGCACTGATTGTTTGTTAATCATGTAGCCCAAAGCAAGACGATAATGACCCTGAGATGCATAGAAGTGAAAGAGAATAAGTCTTTAGCGGGGAGAAAGGACAAAAGAAGAAAACATAATATGGCGATTGATTCTGCATTTAAATTGTTGAAGATTGTGTGCGACAGGGAAACAAAAAAGAAACTGGAAAAGTGTTCCACAGGCGAAGAGTGCGAGAAAATACTATTAGAATACAACTTATGATTACACCTATCTATTTCAATAGTAAAACGGTGAGACCTAGTTGCTAATCTAGTATTACGCTGAAATTCATGCCACCGAGATGCCAAAGAGGTACAAAGCTCATTAGAACAACTGCTGTAAAAATATTTATAGAAAAGACAGAGGGAAGTCATGGGAGATCGGTGGGAAAGTGGCTGAAGTCAAGATGCCAGGTCAGAATTAATAACATTACAGACCCTTCTTTAGATTTTCTTGAAAATCTCGAAATATATAGTCGGAGAACCAGACCAGCTATAATAGCGAGATTCTATGCACACACGAATGGCTGATTTATAAATGTGCAAGATGGATTCTGACGAGAGAAAAAAACTTTCTGGCATGTCATAAAACCTTTCTAGCAGTATAACTAGCAATTGATTCAATTGTCAATAGAAAGAGACAGCAATGAACTTCCCTCTTGGAGGCTAGAATCAGTCATGCTGATGGCAGTCAGAAAAGGTTTTCTATGGTGATTAAATAATAGCAGTTTTGTTTTGGAGGTGTTCGAATTTAGGAGGCATTCCTTGCCCCAGTTAACAACTGACTGAAGCTTATTTTCGATAGATAGTTCCATTTTAACTTGTGGAATCGGATTTTCTACTGAGACAGAAGTAATTAGTTGTGACATCAGCATGAATACCTAGTTAGGAACTTATGACTGCTGGAAGTTTGTTGATGATATACGAAACAACATAGGTCTAAGGGTAGATTTCCGGTGTCTCCCCCCTCATAACAGTATTCTGATTGTCAAAGGAGGCCATTCAAACCCCGGCAGATGTGTCCGACATCATTCTATGTATTACCACATTCTTATATACGCCACAGATATATATATATATATATATATATATATATATATATATATATATATATATATATATATATCATCTACAGGTGTTTTCTGTCTGTCAATATGAAAATTTATACTGTTTTATTTATTCTTTCATTAGCAAATAAATGAAGGAAAGGATATTTTATAAAAGTATAAACAAAAATAGCGTAAAATCACAAATATATATATATATATATATATATATATATATATATATATATATATATATATATATATATATATATATATAAAACTAGTAGGCTTTTCGCATCGCAAATATATATTCACTACTTGAAATATTTGAAACAAAAATTTTAAATGAACATTTCATTCATAAATTGGTTTGTTAGAGTTAAGGAAATTTTTACAAACAGATGTCAACTTGTTGAAGGTCAAGTAAAATGCAAATTTCACTTTTCTGCACTATATAAGACAATATTCCTAAACAGAACTATTTTTGATATGAAAATCAAAACAATCCTCGAATAAAAGAACAGTAATGAAGAACAGTTAATTAATGAAATAAACTTTTTAAAAATCAGTAGGTAAATTAGTCTGAAAAGTGATATTGCCTAGAAGAAGATAATATATAGTACAGATATTGAGCTTATAATGTGTAAATTGCTCTAAGTAATTTATACTCTTTATTTATCATCTCCTTAGGTAGAGTGCGCTCAGGGGCGACTCCGTCAAAGGACAGAGTCGCAACTGAGGAAAATTATACTGAAGAGGTGCTGGCCTTGGGGAACAGCTGCCCGAGGCCGCGCCCTCTTATTGCACTAGAGAGAAGAATCGGTGCACGCACCGAGGCCAGCGCAACCGACGGTTGCGGGGGCCCGGGGAATTTTTGTTCCTTGCCCGGTTGCACTCGCTCGGGCTCCCAACATTAAACCGACCTTGTGTCACAACCTGAGCTCGTGGGTGGGTTAGTAAATATCTACTCTTTTGAAGTAATTTCAGATTTACTTATCATCTCTCAGTTGCGTCTCTGTCAAAGGACAGAGTGCGCTCAGGGACTTCTCTATCAAAGGACAGAGGGGCTACTGAGAAAATAATACTGACAGGTGCCCAGCGCTGTGGAATAGCTGCCCGAGGCCACACCCACCCATTGTACCAAGAGGGAGGGATCGGTGCTAGAACCGAGGCCAGCGCAACCGACGTTTGCAGGGGCTGAGGGGAATCTTTGTGCCTGTCCTACCTAAACATAGACCTTGTGTCACATCTCGTTTTAGTGGGGGGGGTGGCAGAGTAAATACTTCTGTAAATTACTATGAAGTAAAACTGGTGATTTTTTTACACTTAGAATTCGTGGGAGAGTTGAGCTCCATTTTCGCATTTATTCATATAGATTCAATAATAGAGGTTTTACTTAACTAGCTATCACGTTTCTCTAACTCTTCAAATGTTGAATGTATAAATAATTCTAATTTCTATTTTTCCATATTTACACTATATTAATTTTATCTTATAAGTTGTCCCCCTGTTCTGTCATCCGTGAAATAAAATTGTCTTTACAGAAAATAAGTATCTACGTACATCAAATCGTCTTTAATTAAGTGGCAGCAAAAGAATTATCGTTGAACTTTTAAAAGGTAATCTTAAACATTAATTCACTACTTAAATGCAGCGATCAATTTTGAGTTCTTCTGTAGTTGATTGATGCCTATCGCATCTGTTCCTCCCTAGCTATTGTGATGATGGACAAACCAAGAGACCTTCACAGGAGGCATTTTAAGCTACATTAAAATTTTAAGCTAGCCGCAATTTTGGATACAAATGGAAAATAAGAGTTACTCCCCTTGAACCATGAAAGCAAAGATAATGGCTAGTATAATATGTTAATCTATATTTTTAACCTCACATAATGTGGCAACCCTGAATCTGAGCTCAACGAAAATCGTTCCCTGCGTCTACCTTTTCTAGGACTTTTGATTGAGCTATGAATCATTTAAATCGGACCAGTGGGAGCGGAGGAGTTGCTTGGACATACATACGCCCAAACATACACTGTACTTTATATATAAATTGTATTGAGCTCACTTCACACCATGTCAAAATAGACTTTTCACTATTGAAAATTGCATTCTGCTATTATTTTATTATCAAATATAAGAAAAGAAAATGAAATTTTAAAAATTGAATATAAATAGAAAATAATTTTAAATTTTTAAGTTTAATTTATTTCATTTTTAAATTTAAATTGTACGATTTGATTTAAAAGAAATTTAAATTATTAATTTTTTAATTTATTTAAATTTAAAAAAATATTTATTGAAAAACTTAAAAAAAGAAATGCTTATCTTGCTATCATTTATTTTTCTTAGCAAATAAAAGAAATTTCAGTGAAATTAAAAAAAATGTAAAAATCTGGAAAAAAATATTTTTAACACTTTAATTTATTAAATTTAAATTACACGACTTTATTAAAAACATTTAAATTTATTTAAATTATTAAATTTTTAATTTATTTAAATTTTTTTATAAATTACTTAATTTAAAAAACTAGTTTATCCTGCTATTATTTATTCTTTATTACCAAATACGATAAAATGAAATGAAATTTAAAACAAAAAGAAAAGACTAAAAAAAATAGACAAATCACAAAAAATACATCATATTTATTGGACTCACCTCAGATCATGCTAAAATAGACTTTGCACTGACTGATCCTCAGATAATCCAGATTCTGGGTTGACATAAGGAATGAATTCCTAGCAGAGGATGGAGAACCGCGATTCACCTGATGTAATTTGTTGTCACCGACATGTGAACACGTGATCAACTCAGCTGCGCCGAGAATGTACACGCGTCAGGAAAAATAACTTCAATGACAGGCAGATATATGAACAGCCACCCAAGAGGGAAGTGTTTCTTAAATCCACACAAGAATGTAGACTCTACATTTGGAGAAGGCCCCATAACTATGCACCCACTGTCCGACAGTGATTAATGAAGTCCGAGGTGAAATAATAGTAATGGTAATGTTAATATTAACTTTTTCCTTATAAGGAAACATTCGGCATTTATTGAACGAGCAGCCAATAACTCTTTCAGTTGAAATTTATCAAATCTTCCCCTTAAGACAATTTCTCAGGGAAAAAAAACGCTTCACAAGTCCAGTAGCTGTTATCGCTCTTTCCAGTATTTATAGAGGTTTCCTTTCTAACTTTTTATTTGAAATAGTGTGGAAAGCCAGCTTCTAGTTTAGGTCATTATTTTCTCTTCTATTTATATGGGCTATCCATTTTAGTTTTTGCTGCTACTGGAAGTCCTCAAGTGAAATGTTTTTTTTTTCTTATTTCGTACAGTTCTTTTTTTTGTGATTCTGTAGCGCCTGTCCACAAAGTTCAAAGAAAGATCTGTACTAAATAAGAAAAACATGTCACTTGAGGACTTCCAGTAGCAGCAAAAACTAAAATGGATAGCCCATATGACTGGAAGAGAAAACCCACCGGCCTCTCCCGCTCAAAACCAGTTTTAACCACTGATCTTAGAAAGAGTTTGCATACAGCTGATATCTTAGGCATTTCGGAACGGGGTTGGTGCCATGCATGATATCCATATGAGAGCCTCGCTCAGATGCGGCTATTTAAGAACATAACTCGAGTTTTTAGTTTAATGTTTTGGTTTAGTAGCAAATACCTCAAGCACGGTCTATCTTATCGCAATTTCGATATCACCCAGACTTAATGTTACGTATAAATAATTAAGCCTCATATTTTCGTTGCTCAGAACAAAGAAAGAAAGAAAGAAAGAAAGAAAGAAAGACAGAAAGAAAGAAAGAAAGAAAAGGCGTAGGAATATGGGAAACAACTTGATGTAAATGGGGGTCAAAATATATATATGTAATTAGACCTCGTATTTTCGCTGGTCAGAACAATGCTAGAAAGAAAGAAAGAAAGAAAGAAAGAAAGAAAGAAAAGGAGAATTGATATGGATAACAACTTGATGCAGATAAGGGGCAAAATATATATTTCCGTCAGGTGATCGAACAGAAAAAAAAATATCAGAAGTGCTGTTTGGCATGAGATAAAAAAAAGGTTAGGAGAAAGAAAGAAAGAAAGAAAGAAAGAAAAGAAAAGGAGAAATGATATGGGTAACAACTTGATGCAGATGAGGAGCGAAATATATACGGTGGCGTCCAAAACTAAGGGACAAAATTTTAAAACCTAATATTTGTTAGAAATAACAACTGTGAAAAGCTGAAATTTTGACAACTGGTAGTCATTATCATCCATAATAACATACTAAAATTTGAATCATTTGCAAAGGATAGAAAAAGAATTATAACAGTTATTTATTTATTCTCAAAATAGGATCGTCCGAAAGTAAGGGACAAAATTGAGAAAAACAATGTAAACAGTATGCTATATTCAAATTTTTTTATTTCCTCTAAAGAATAAGTCTTACTTAGTCATTTGTAAACGTTGCATCAGCCGGCACCATAGCGAAACGCCAAAAACTTGATTACTCTGTGAGACAAGCTATTGTGAAGCTACACAAGGAAAAGCACACCATTAGAGAGATTTCAGAGAAAGTGAAAAGTTCCAAGAGTGTTGTAGGCAGGGTTGTTAAATCCTACAATGATACTGGCAATGTAGTTAGTGCTTTTAAAACCGGCAGACCCCGCAAAACTTCGGCAAGAGAAGATCGAATAATGCAGCGTATGTCATTAAAGGACCGTTTTAAGTCTTGCACAGAAATTAAAAGGGTTATGAATAGTACCTCATGTGTTAATGTGTCAAGACAGACTGTTTGTAGACGACTGCAAGAAATAGGGCTGTTTAATCGAACCCCAGGGAAGAAACCACTTGTTAGTTCGAAGAATAAGAAGAGATTAGAGTTTGCAAACAGGTATGTAATTTGGACATATGAAAATTGGGCAAAAGTATTTTTCAGTGATGAAAGCAAGTTTAATTTATTTGGAAATGATGGAAAAAACAATGTAAAGAGACGTATTGGTGAAAGATTAAGTGCAAAGTGTACTAAGAAAACTGTCAAGTTTGGGGGGAAGCGTTATGGTATTTGGAATGTTTTCTAGCCAAGGTGCAACGCCTCTTGTCCGGTTACAAACTCGTGTAAACGCGCAGATCTATAAAAACATTGTTCAAGATCATGTTGTGCCAATCATACAGAATTCAGGTTTCGATAGGGCTAACTTTATGCAAGATAATGCCCCATGTCACAAGGCAAATGTAGTAATGAGTTACCTTAGCGAGCAAGATTTGGAAATTATGGATTGGCCACCGCAAAATCCTGACTTAAATCCAATAGAAAATCTTTGGAAGACCTTAGGAGTGAAAGTTATGGAAAGAAATCCCACTAACACGGAGGATTTGTGGGTGAAGCTTCAAGAAGAATGGTCTAAAATTAGTATCGAGGATTGTCAAGAACTGATTCGTTCTTGTAGTCGAAGATGTGCAGCTGTCATTTAGAGTAAGGGCTATTGATTGTACATGTATTTTTATTGTTTTTTGCCGTTTACATTGTTTTTCTCAATTTTGTCCCTTACTTTTGGACGTTCCAAATTTGAAAATAAATAGATAATTGTTATAATTCTTTTTCTATCCTTTGCAAATGATTCAAATTTTAGTATGTTATTATGGATGATAACGACTACCAGTTGTCAAAATTTCAGCTTTTCACAGTTGTTATTTCTAACAAATATTAGGTTTTAAAATTTTGTCCCTTAGTTTTGGACGCTACTGTATTTCCGTCAGGTGATCGAACAGAAAAAAAAATATCAGAAATGCTGTTTGGCATGAGATAAAAAAAGGTTAGAAAGAAAGAAAGAAAGAAAGAAAGAAAGAAAGAAAGAAAGAAAGAGGATGGGGAACAACTTGATGTAGATGGGGGAAAATATATATATATATATATATATATATATATATATATATATATATATGTTATTAAACTCGATTTTTTCGTTGGTCAGAAAACGCTGACAAGAAAGAAAGAAAGAAAGAAAAAAAGAAAGAAAGAAAAGGTAAAAGAAGATGGGGACAATTTAATGCAGATGGGGCAATATATATACATATATATATATATATATGTTTGTGTGTGTGGGTGTGTAATTAAACCTTGATTTTCGTTGGTCAGAACAACGCTGAAAAGAAAGAAAGAAAGAAAGAAATGGTGAAAGAAGACGGGGAACAACTTAATGCAGATGGGGTCAATATATATATATATATATATATATATATATATATATATATATAAGTAAACCTCGTAATTTCGTTGGTCAGAAAACGCTGACAAGAAAGAAAGAAAGAAAGAAAGAAAGAAAGAAAGAAAGAAAGAAAGAAAGAAAGGTGTATGGAGAAAAGGGACTAGGTGGAGGTGGAGAAGGGCAAAGAAAAAAGAAGAAAAAAGACGTCCATATGAGAACGATAACAGATCTATGTTCGTATTGCATAGCATTGAAACCGCTAAACAATTCTGTCTTAATTTGCCTAAATCGACATCTGAACATTCTTAGGTTTCTGACCTTTATTCTCAGGTAAATGTTGAGCGCATTTCGGAAGATCAAACCTTTTTTTTTTTCTTTTTTTTTTTTTTGATCTCCGATTTTATTTGTACTTTTCCTTCCTTTTTGTTTCTTTTTTATGGTAGTCCCGGGTTTTTCTCAACGACCAATAAGACTATCATTGCCATGTCATATCGTAACAATGCACGGATTATTTTTCCACATTGCCTTTTTTATGTTATGCTTTGCTAACTCGACGAGAGTACAATCAATATTACAACCACACGACTGTCTACTGGAGAAATTAGACTGTTTACGGAACAGGCACTCCTGATTTATTGTACAAGTCATTCTTGGTTCATTTGGCTATTGAATCAGTTTTCATTCTCTGCTCCAGGCTCTTTGTATTTGAGAAGGCATGAACCGAAATATCCATATGCTGTCTTTGAAAACAGCTTTATTACTAAGATTCTATTTAAACAAGTGGCCAGTCTCCGATCGCGTGTTAATGAATCCAATTTCTTTTTTATATTTATCGTGTGTCCTGCTGAATATTTTTCTGGTTGATTTCTATAGAATTTGTTCTATATGATTTTATATGTTCATTTTATTTTTATATATTGCGTTATATTATAATATTTTTATTCTATAGGATTCTGTCTGCAATTAATCATTGAATTTACGTATATAATATATGTGGTGTGTGTGTGTGTGTGTGTGTGTGTGTGTGTGTGAATTAATGCATGTATGTTTTTATAGTATTTATTTTATATGATTTTAAATAAACAATTTATTGCATTATATTTTTATTTTGATTCGGCAATTAAAAATTTAACTTACGTACATAACTATATATATATATATATATATATATATATATATATATATATATATATAGTTATCCACATACAAGGCTGTTTTGCTGCATCACAGCTCATCAGCAGAAATAAACGTCCGATTGCTTCAAGCCGGGATCGCAAATCGACCGATTAGGCATCAGTCAGAAATCTTACCCCTAAGCTTTCGGCGCACAGCATAAAGAAAGGGAAATTTTAACGCATTATATACGGAATGTATGCAAACACCAGGAGTGTACAATAATATATTTGTAGTATTTATTTTATATGATTTTATATATTAATTTTATTTTCTATATTTTGTTATGTTATAATATTTTTGTTTTATATGCTTTTGTAATGAAAGTCTATACGCATGTAATATTTATAAGCAAAAAAAAAAAAAATATATATATATATATATATATATATATATATATATATATATATATTATAAATTAACTGATTTAAAATATGTTTCTTTAGCTACACAGTGATAACTATATTTCAAAAAACGGAAGCTAAAATGTTCAAAATTAATTATATAATTAACTTAAAAGCATTAGTTCCGTTTCATCTTCAAAGCACTGTTTTGTAAAAATAAAAAATATCACTAAGAACGCTGGATTATATATCTTACTGTTCTTTCTTTTTTATATATATATATATATATATATATATATATATAATTTTTTGTTTTATATGATTTTTTGTAACTTATAACTGATCTTATGCTGTTCCATGTTTCAAGTAACTGGAGCGGTAATCTAGGTGATTCTAATTTGCGATTGTGTATTTAAGTACGAATCAACCTCTTATCTTGAGTGTCTCTTGGGCCTTATATTGGGTGAACAAGGTCTTATTAGTAGTGCGAGTTTTAAAGACAACTAGCAGTAGAGCCCGGCGTTGCCCGGGGATGTAACAGTAAGAGATAGATCAAGTATCAACCATCATAAAGACTGAAAAATAAAATTGACAAAGATTATTGTTTAAGGTTGACGGACATGCATGTCTTAATTAGTTTCTTGTTTTGTTTTTTTTGTTTGTTTTTTTTTTGTTTTGTTTTTTGGTTTTTTTTACGAATTGGTCAAACCCAAACTCAAACAAAAACATTGTTTTCAATCGTTATGAGTCTACCGATTGAATAGAATTTTATTATAAACAATTGTCTTGTAAATGGAATTTTTAAAGCATACTGAATGTAAAAATAAAGAAAAAAGTGTGGAAGACAATAAGAAACACTGCCTGCCAAAAAAAGTGAAGTTTTGTTGAAATCGGTTGAAAAATGTAGGAAATCCGACCCCATATATAAACGAACACACACTCACACACACACACACACAACCTGGGTTTTATAATAAGTATAACTCGATGTGAGTTGTCCCCCTTTCATTTTCGCGATAGCGATGTCTCTTAATCGTGTTTTCAAAATGATTTTGTGCAAAAACAATTGTGTTTTTCCCATTTTTGGTGCTGTCAGAACTACCGCAAGGTAATTTTACGTAGTCCTGTGAAGTTTTGTTAAAATCGGTTGAAAAATGTAGGTAATCCGATCCAATATATAAACGAACACACACACACACACACACACTCAAACTGGGTTTTATAATAAGTATGATGCCTTAGCCAATACGTTTTCGGGCTTTTATTTTGCGAGTTTTTTTGTTAAGAAAACATAAAATGAGGAAGCATGATTACGTAATTTCTCTTAGACATTTAAACAATGCCAGGAAGTTAGACGAGCAGGCCATCAGTAAAAACACAGATTAAAGCGAGAAAAACGAAGCTACCAGCCCGTATACTTCGTGAAATATGTACAATATTTCCTCTCAGATATTCAGTCAGGATGGAAAGCTCACCGACTGAAAAGCAGTGATCAGAAGTGATAAGTTGATATTTTATTATTCCTGGCAGTAAGTAGCATTATGTAAAGGCTACAATCCTATCAACAGGTTCACGTGATGTCTGGCCAACTGATTTCTGCCCACGTGTTGATTGCTTGCCAAAGCGCACAGCCATGCCTCAGGTTTTCGAGTATGTCTGCAAGCCATTGTTCTGACCCTGGTCTGATCACGATGTTGTCCATGCGCATAAAAGTGGAACGAGACGCCGGTCACAACGGAAATGAGCTCAAACAGTAACCATTCTCATAGTTATACAAATAACCAACTCTTGAAAGACAAAAGTGTTCGGACGGACTTCTGGGTTTTTTAAATACTGGACTATCTGTCCATGGCGAGAACTGTGATAGAATCGCGTGTACATTTTTTTTTTGCTCCTATTTTATTCCGCACGGTGGACACAGAATAGATTAAAAAATGATAAATCTATTACACAGTAATAGAAAAAAAGGTTTTCACACTATCTTATCACATCCTTATTTACCGTCACTTTATTTTGTTTTTTATTCACTATTATCATTTGTATTCAACGTTTTATCATTTAATTGCTATCAGTCAGACAAATATCTGTGCAAAAAGCAATTGTTCCAAATTCTGCTCTCTTGAGAAGAAGATTAAATGAGTCATTCCTTGCCGAGCAGTAGAGGAATTTACATGTGTTCATGTTGTTCTATTGTAGATGAATGATTGAAAGGAAACTGAATTAGCGGATTAATATCAAGATTTTTTGTGAAGATCAGTCAAACCGATAATGACGCATTAACCCCGTTAAAAATGGTTTATAATAAATATGCTATCGGATGTTTTTGAGTAATACCCACAGTTCTTGAAAGGACGGAAAAATGTAAGAGATGACACAATAATTGGGCATCCTAAAAACACAAAGAACAGAGCTAATTTTGTCGTGTGCTTGGTAAGAAAGTATGTGACTAATGGATAAATTCTTTTTTTTTTGGAAGAAATACTGTATGCGTTGGTCACAAAAAGAGCAAACTTCTTCCCAAGTCTACTCATCGGCATTTTTGTCATATTTTATAAAATAAGTATTCGATATACATTTTTAAAAATGTCACTTCCTTTCCGGATGTAGACGACCATGGCTAGTCACAGTAATAATATATATGCTGATATATATATATATATATATATATATATATATATATATATCATACTTATTATAAAACCCAGGTTGTGTGTGTGTGTGTGTCTGTACGTTTATATATTGGATCGGATTTTCTACATTTTTCAACCGACTTCAACAAAACTTCACAGGACTATATAAAATTACCTTGTGGTGGTTCTGACAGCGCCAAAAATTGGAAAAACACAATTGTTTTTGCACGAAATCAATTTGAAAATATGATTAAGAGGCTGTCGCAAGAATGAAAGGGAGACAACTCATATGGAGTTATATTATTATTATAAAACCCAGGTTGTTTTTGTGTGCGTGTGTATGTGTGTCCGTTTATATATGGGATCGGATTTCCTACATTTTTCAACCGATTTCAACAAAACTTCACTTTTTTTGGCAGGTAGTGTTTCTTAATGTCTTGCACACTTTTTTCTTTATTTTTACATTCAGATTGCTTTAAAAATTCCATTTAAAAGACAATTGTTTATAATAAAATTCTATTCAATCGGTAGACTCATAACGATTGAAAACAATGTTTTTGTTTGAGTTTGACCAATTCCTAAAAAAAAAAAAAAAAAAAAAAACTAATTAAGACATGTGACATGTGTGTCCGTCAACCTTAAACAATAATCTTTGTCAATTTTATTTTTCAGTCTTTATGATGGTCGATAATTGATCTATCTCTTACTGTTATATCCCCGGGCAACGCCGGGCTCTACTGCTAGTATATATATATATATTTCTCGTATCGATAAATAGCTAAAAGGATTTAACAACACTCGTTGGTTAATAACAATTTTATTACGAGAACAATGACTAGTATAATAAAATTTGACATGGTATAGATAAACAGAAACTAATGAAAATAGGTTTTAAAAACGACGGTCCTTTAAACCACAGCCATTGCTGCACACGTGATTCAATGGTCACGTGTTTTGGGGTGAAATGGAAGCGAAAACCAAAAAGAAAAAAAAAGAACAGTAGAAAGTGTATTTTTATTTCTTTCGAGAATAGTCAATAACACTCACATATTTCCAAATGTTCCAGATTGTCTTTACTGTCCAATCCTATATTTTGAACAAAAC